TATAATCATCCGAAATAGCATTTCTCCATTCTCTCGTGGATCTCCTCAATGGCACTGGTTCTTAAGGTTGTTGAGTTTGATCTTCTGAAACAAGAAGTTGTTCTACATTGTCATCTTGATGTTCCGGATTTACTTCTTGAGCAACAACAGCAGGTATATGAACCTGAATATTGTCAAGAGTAACTGTATGAATTGGATCTGAAGCCAATTCCTCCTCAAAAACAATGTCTCTAACCTTATTTCTCCCTCCAAACTCAACATCCTCAAAGAATATTACTGTTCTCGTCTCAAAAATATTCCTGAGTGTGAGATCATAAAACTTATAGCCCCTAGAGCGTTCAGAATACCCAATAAAGTAGCTGCTAACTGTTTTGGAGTCCAATTTATTTTCATTTGGCCTATAAGACCTTACCTCAGCTGGACATCCCCAAATATGTAAGTGCTTTAAACTGAGCTTTCGACCAGTCCAAAGCTCATAAGGTGTTTTAGCGACTACTTTACTTTGTACTCTATTCAGAATGTAAGCTGTTGTCTTTAGTGCTTCTCCTCAGAGTGACTCTGATAAAGAAGAATGAGCAATCATACTTCTTACCATATCATTAAGAGTCATGTTTCGTCTTTCAGCTACACCATTCATGCTAGGTGAACCCGACATGGTGTGCTGTGGGACGATACCGCATTCCTCTAGTTATCTAGGAAATGGTCCTAAACGTTGTTCACCTGAACCATCATATTTGCCGTAGTACTCACCACCACAATCAGATCTAACGGTTTTAATTATTCTTTTGAGTTGATTCTCAACTTCAGCTTTATAGGCTTTGAACATGTCTAGAGATTCAGATTTTTCATGAATAAGATATAGGTACCTATAACGTGAGTAATCCTCTATGAATGATATAAAATACTGTTGACCATTCCAGGATGTCGTAGGGAATGACCCATAAATATCCGTATGTATCAATTCTAAGACATCCGAAGATCTGTTGGCACCTAATCTCTTAACTTTGGTCAGTTTTCCCTTGATACGTTCAACACATACGTCGAAGTCCGAAAAATCAAGGGAATCAAAAATACCATCAGACACAAGACGCTCAACTCTACCTTTTAAGATATGACCCAAGCGCTTATGTCATAATGTTGCTGAATTTTCCTTATTTAATTTACGCTTAGTACCACGCGATTCCGCATGCAAAGTTTCATTATAAGAAGTAATTATATCAAATAAATATAGGTTGTCATAAGTACTCAAGTAATCAGTTCCCATAACATTTGAATTAGAAGATAAACTGAATTGATTGTTTTCAAATGAACAAGAATAACCTGATTTGTCCAATACAGAAACTGAAATCAAATTCCGTCCAAAAGACGGTACTATAAAAGTATCTTTCAAATCCAAATAAGAACCAGTTCCTAATAGCAACCTAAAGTGCCCAATTGCTTCCACATCTACCGATTGTTCGTCGCCCACAAAGATGTGTCTTTTAACATCACTTGGCTTTCGGTAGCTCAAGTAACCCTACATAGAAACACTTATGTGAGTAGTAGCACCAGAGTCTAAGCACCAAGTGTTTCTAGGTACTGAAGCTAAATTAACCTCAGAACATACCAAAGTAAGGAACGTACCCTTATTAGCAAGCCAGGCGTGATATTTGGTACAATCCTTCTTTACGTGTCCAGGCTTGTTACAGAAGAAACAACTCTGATTATCCTTATATTGTTTCTTCTGAACTGGACCCTTAGCAGCTTCATTATCATTCTTTTTTTTCTTGCTCTTATCCTTAGAGGCATAAGCCAAATGAATATTTTATGTCTTATCTTGCTTCAACCTGTCTTCTTCTTGCACACAGTATGAAATGAGCTCATTTAGAGTCCATTTCTCTTTTTGGTAATTATAACTGACCTTGAACTGACTGAACTGTACAGGAAGAGACAATAAAACCAGATGCACCAATAACTCATCACAAAGATCGAGTTTAAGTGCCTTAAGTTTTGAAGCAATATGAGACATTTTCATAATGTACTCCCTGATATTTCTTTTGCCCTTATACTTCATTGAAATCAAGCGAGCTAAAAGCATGCTTGTTTCTACCTTATCGTTTTTCGCAAAACGTTTCTCAATTTTGATAATGAAATCTTTAGCCTTAGCAATCCCTTCGGATTCTATGCCCCTGAAGGCTTTCGGAACGTCGCGCTTAATGATCATAAGACTCATGCGATTTGAACGCTCACACTTCTTATACTCCTTCTTTGCATCAGGAGTGCTATCCGCATTGAGAGGTTGAGGTTGTTCAGTTCTTAATGCAATGTCTAGATCCATGCAGCCAAGAACAATTAATATGTTCTCTTTTCAAACCTTGAAATTTGTCCCATTTAGCATAGAAATTGAGTTGATGTTAGCAAAAATTATTACAGCAGATGCATTAGCTGAAAAACAAAAAATACTCACATTAATAACCATAATTAGTAATCAATAAAATTTAAATAATGATAAATCTCATCCAAGATATCCGGTACAAAATTAATATCAAGTCTTTGGACAGTAATATTAATTACAAGTGATATCTTGTTGCAACAATCAAACACTAATAATAACACATGTCAAATAATAAAACTATCTTTGGATCGATTCACTATTCACATGTAAACCTTATAATTGTCACATGTTTATCATCACAGATGTGTATGTAGTCTAAATAAATATTAACATTCCTTTGGGGCGATTAAATATTTACACAAAAATATACAAACAAACATCTGGCATCCCTCATGAACAATCTACACAAGAGAGGTTACTTTGGCAACATCTTGTTTCAATTAGTCATTTGGAATGGAGACAACTTAATATCTTAGCGTCATATTATTTGAATAATTGATTAACTACTAAAATTAATTCAAATTAAACAACTTAATTTGAATTAGAAGAATTTTCCATAGCTTAATTAGGACCCATAAAAAATTAATTCAAATTAAACAACTTAATTTGAATTAGAAGAATTTTCCATAGCTTAATTAGGACCCATAACTTAATTGAATAAATTAAGTATAAATTTGAATTAGAAGAATTTTCCATAGCTTAATTAGGACCCATAACTTAATTGAATAAATTAAGTATACTAAAGTGGACTCATAATTTAATATGAAAAAGCCGAGGCTTAACCATAGTGAACACGAAGTTCTCTTGACTTCGAACGCGATGTTCGTTTGTATTGAGTACAAGACTCGCCTAAGAAAGAACGCGAGGTTCGTTTGAAAAAATGAACGTGATGTTCAACTTGAGAACGAATGCAAGATTCGTTTTGAAACTGAACGCGAAGTTCGACCTGAGAATGAACACGATGTTCAACTTGAGAACGAACGCGAGGTTCGACCTGAGAACGAACGCGAGGTTCGACCTGAGAATGAACGCGATGTTCAACTTGAGAACGAACGCGAGGTTCGTTTGGATTGAGCACAGGGCTCGCCTGATGATGAACGCGGAGTTCGACTTGAGGATGAACGTGAGGTTCGACTTGAATTGAGAGCGAGGCTCAACTGAGAACGTACGCGAGGTTCGTTTGAATTGAGCGCGAGGCTCACCTTAGAACGAATGTGAAGTTCGTTTGAATTGAGCGTGAGGCTCACCTTAGAACGAACGCGAAGTTCGTTTGAATTGAGCGCGAGGCCCACCTTAGAATGAACGCGAAGTTCGTTTGAAGCTTTCAAGCCTTGCCAAAAATTGAGGTAACCACCTCCTTAATTCCCGCACGTTTTCACGCACGAACCCTTAGGGTTTCATTCTGAAACCGCCGCCGTCATTGCTCCTGCACCCAAGATCGAACCCCTAGGGTTTCCTGACGTCGCCGTAGCCGTCGGAGTTGAAAGCGAGACCGCCAGCGATACTTCACCGGCGAGGAGCACGGGACCGACGACCAAACAAAATAGATCCAAAACTTTCTCGGTTTTATTTCAAAACCAGATTCAGAATCGAAAGATAACTTCTTGATCCAGATCCCAAAAAAAAATCGAAGGGAAAACCAACAAAAATTAAAAAACTTTACTGTTCACAGAAATTTACTGTTCACAGATGAACAGCTCTGAGACAATTCAGAGATTTTTTTAAGATAAAAAAACCCATTTTTAAGAACTTAAACCCCTAAGAATTAATCACGGGTGGCTCTGATACCACTTGTTTGAACTTAGCGTGATTAAATCATAGAGATTAAACATTAAGAACAGAAGCTTATACCTGAACCATGGACTGGACTTGAGTTGGATTTTGGATCTTCTAATCTTAGGGTTTCTCTCCTTAAGATCTCTTTAGATGGGGATAAGTGAATGAGAGTGGCTAACCTTAGATTCGGGACCATAACCCCATATATATAGGTGTTGTACATTTGTAATTTGGCCCCTCATCAAATTATAATTACAACCTGGTATATACACATATAACCCCATGATTTATTTAAATGCCCATTAACCCAAATTAATTGATCACTTTAGTGGGTTATCCTGAAGAATAGCAATACACACAGATTAATAATTGATCACTTTAGTGGGTTATCCTGAAGAATAGCAATACACACAGATTAATCATATGTGCCCACAAATAGATTTAATTAAAGAATAGCAATACACACAGATTAATCATATGTGCCCACAAATAGATTTAATTAGATTTAAATCCAACACACCACGCATTACCATTTGCAGATTCACATGAAGATCTCAAGTAATTGCACTGAGAGCACAGCATGACCCAATAATCTTCTATGCTACAAACTATAGCATGTTTGTTTAAACAATTCCCAGTATGCATGCCACCAACCAGTCATGATCCAGCAATGCTTTATTTATTTCAGTTAGTGTGTACAATAAGTAACAAGTTACTATTCAATCCGGTGATCTATATCATTTTCCTAATCCTAGAGTAGGTTTTTATGTTTATCTTTTTAAGAGCGGCCTACCCTGACAGGCAGTGAACTTTAGCTTGCATAGGTATGAACAGAAGAAAACCAGCTTACCCACTCAACAAGGCTCTCATCTCCCACAGGTTGAGTTGTATCAACAGGCTTTCTCCCAGTTATAAGCTCCAAAAGTACAACACCAAAAGAATAAACATCAGACCTCTCGGTCAACTTGCCACTTGATGCATACTCTGGAGCCAAATATCTGTGTATAACTATTGTCAGCTGTTCGAATTCAGAATTTAAAAAAAAACATGCAGATAAAACAAAACCACCCAGCATCTCAATGAAGTATCCATCAAATATTAGGAAATTTCTAATGTTCCCTTGTTCACATACCCAAAAGTCCCCATTACTCGTGTTGTGACATGTGTTGCAGCGTCCATAGCTAACCGTGCAAGCCCAAAATCAGCTACCTGGCCCATAGATATTAGTTTCAAGGTTACAAGGAAGACATAAGTAAAGAATCAACAACATTTTCAGTTAGTATATCATAAATAACCTGTGCTTCAAAGTTGCTATCCAGTAAGATGTTTGATGACTTTATATCTCTATGAATGATCCTTGGGTGACCTGATAACAAATAAAAAGAGAGACGCAAACTACAAACTTAATCACAATTTCATTAAGCAAAAAAGATGAGTAGTTGAAAGAAAGGTCATAAGTCATTACAATCCTCATGCAAGTAGGCAAGTCCTCGAGCTGCGCCTGCAGCAACCTTGACTCTGGTTGTCCAATCCAAAACTGGTATTCCTTTTGCTGAAAATGAAGTTGAAGCTTTATAGATTACCGATAGACATGTTAAAGATGAAAACTAGAACAAATTAAATGATCCCATCTTACCGTGGAGATGATAATCAACTGTATTATTAGGAACATAATCATAGACAAGCATCCTTTGGCTGTCTGCTATACAATAACCAACAAGGGAGACTAAATGACGATGGTGTACACGACCAATGATCTCAACTTCTGCTCTAAATTCCCTCTCCCCTTGCGAACCGCCAACTTTGAGTTGCTTGACAGCGACCTCCCTCCCATCCGAAAGGCATCCTTTATACACACAACCAAATCCACCCTCGCCTAAAAGATTCTCATCCGAGAACCCATTTGTGATCTTGTATAATTCCTTATAGCTAAACCATTGCTTTGAATTCCCCAGTGCAGGGTCAGGTGAGTTCAGAAATCCATGGTTCCCAGTCCCAGAGCTATTGTACACGAGAGGCGCTGTTGGAGTGTGTGTATAGGATGATTCTGATGAGTTAAACCAAATATAGTCAACTTAATGATTGACGAGAAATTTAAAAACCAATTCTAATGGCATTACCTGACATTTGCGAAGATGAAAATGGTGACGGCATGACAAAACCAGCTGCATATCCTCCTGATCTCCTTTTCTTCTTCCTGAAATACCACACAGCTAATCCTACTAAACCAAGCACCAAGAGACTAGTCACCACAACAACTGGCACTACAACACCAGTCTTTGCTCCACCACCACCACTATTACTCCCATCTCCTGATCTGGCAGTAACATTAGGACCGAAGGAAGATGATCCATCGCCACTCGGACTAATTGGAGGTGTGAGACCACCCGATGGAGTGTTGGGAGACGGTAAAGGAGGTGAAGGTAGAGATGGGTCAACAGGGGGTGCGTTACTAGAGGAATTATTGGGAGGGGAAGGGGGAGAGGGAATGGATGGTGGTTGTTCCTTTGGAGGAGGGGTTGAAGGATTCGAAGGTGGAGGTCGAGATTTTGAAGGAGGAGGGGACTCTGAAATTGGCGACGGAGGGGAAGGGACGGGAGGGTTAGCCGATGGAGGTGGTGGTGGTGGAGGGGTAATTATTATAGGAGGAGAGCTGGTGGGCGGTGGAGATGAAGTAGGAGGAGTTGGAGGAGGCAATGTAGGTGTTGAAGGGGGATCAGCTTGTGGTGGTGATGGTGGTGGTGGAGTTAATGTAGGAGTCGGGGGAGGGGCTGAAGAAGGTGGGATTTTGAAGGAGGAGGGGACTCTGAAATTGGCGACGGAGGGGAAGGGACGGGAGGGTTAGCCGATGGAGGTGGTGGTGGTGGAGGGGTAATTATTATAGGAGGAGAGCTGGTGGGCGGTGGAGATGAAGTAGGAGGAGTTGGAGGAGGCAATGTAGGTGTTGAAGGGGGATCAGCTTGTGGTGGTGATGGTGGTGGTGGAGTTAATGTAGGAGTCGGGGGAGGGGCTGAAGAAGGTGGTGTTGGAGTTAATGTAGGAGTCGGGGGAGGGGCTGAAGAAGGTGGAGGAGAGGTTGATGGAGGGGGTGAATTTGGAATTAAGGGCGGAGGAGGAACGGCCGAAGGGGGAGGGGAAGTGGAAGGCAAAGGAGGAGGAAGAGTGTTCGAAGAGGCCGGAGGATCAGATGTGGCATTGGGAGGTGGAGGAGACAATGAAGATGAAGGAGAAGAAGCCATGTTTTCTTCAATACTAATCCCAACTCAAATTAGTCCATGAAAACTTGTGAAATGCACCAACCAACATGACCCAGATCAAATTCTACCTCTTAGGATATCTTTATGAAACCCACTATCAAATTTTGCCCAAGATCATAGAGTCAAATCTACAAACATCTTATGAGCAAAACTCCATTTTTCTAAATTTTGTTGAACCAACTCCGTCAGTATCCAATCTTTTGCAAATATTCCTCACCAAAACATCAGACTAAACAAGAACGGCATAAAAATAAAAATAAAAGCTAATTTATCAAATTGAAAAATGCAGCGAAGTGTTGCAAGTATAAACTTCGAGAACAAAATAAAAGGTCACCTTTGGCTTGTTCTCGTCTTCAACTCTTTCGTGACGACGACTCAGAGATACCCTATTTTTTTACAGAGAGAAAGAGAGTGGGATTATAGTTTTTTTTTTTTATATAAGAAAGAAATTAGAATGCAAAGATCTGAGCATTTTCAATGGGAAAGCTTATCGATCTAGTCACCGTCCGCCGTTACTTTACCCCTTTTTAAAAGAGGCGGTAATATGTCTTGGGCTCGAAAAATTACGGCGGAAAATAACGACTGTAATAAAATAATGATCCCGAGTTATGCGGGTCGGATCCTGTGACTGGATCCGATAAGAGACTGTCACATTCCGACTTTCTCTTTCCTGTCAAAAAAGGGTCCCTAATTCTGATAAATTAGTTCGAATTTAGCCACTTGAGTCATTGAAATTTTTCATTAGGTTCCCCAGTTTTTAGAAATTGTTTCAATTAATCCTCAAATCAAGAGTAGCAATAGCAATGTACAAGAAGTGGGGGACCCAGTAGCAATTTAAATGATGCAATGGACTAATAACTAATTTCAAAACATTCTAAGATTTAAGGGACTGATATTGGGGGGAAAACCGGGATGAAAGAAAAACACCCAATTAATTCGGAATTATACATATGACGTAACCACAACTTATACGTTGCTTAACTCCACAGGCTGTCAAATATTTTAGGTGGCTAACATATATTTATTTGTTTGAAAAGTAAATATTATGCAAATTAGAATAAGAAATCCACCTTAAACCTTCCACTAGGTTAAGTTTTCCAGAAATACTACATCAAATATGAGCTGTACCTTATTAAATTTTATTGTTTTCTTGCGCAACTATAGTCTACTTTTAGTGGTCATCCTCCTTCATCAGCCTGCTCTTTCATTTAATCCCACCTTCAATATCAATTCGAAAATAGAAAATTCAGTTAGTCCAAAAGCTAGATATAAATTGGAATTGGAAATAACAATTAAGTTATTTTAAAAAATTAGATATAATCCCAAATAGTTTTTATGAATAGTATTTATATCTTAAAAGCTTGATTCTTTTCTAATCAAACGTCTCTTAAATGACCCAACTCTATGGGCGCAAAGCTAGACTCATGCAGCAATGTCAATTTCTTTTTAGAAAATCCGTTTTAATTCATGGTTTTGAGATTTGAACCTGGTTTACTTTGATATCTTCTTAAAGCCCTCAATCGTCACAACAAAATTTTAAACTTTTGATGAGAGTTGAGGTCCGGGTTATAATTTTATATTCTAACAATGTCGCATCCTAGAAGTTATAAAGGATATTATAAATTTGCAGATATATTATTGTGGAGAAATTATGTTGTATGGGTTATTTGCATGTGTGTGTGCACACACCCCTTAAATCATGTGTATTTGAAAAACTAGTCATTAAATCATCAATTTTGGAGGAAAATCAACCGATCATCATCTTTTATAGGCTAATTTGTAATTGCAATGTACAATACACAGACAAACTAGTAAATTTTTTACTCACCTAGTAATCGCAACAGCATGGGTTTTTTCCCAAACTTGATGAATTGGGGTGTAATTTTGTAAATAGTGAGATATGGAGGATAGGTTTGCAAGTACCCATGATTTAAGGGGTACATATGCAAATAACCCATCCTTTTGAGAAAGATGTGTGTTATTTTCATATAACAATCTTGGAATAGGACATTATTTCTGCTAATACTTCACTAATTATGGAAAATGTACTATTCTTCATCTACTAGAAATTGACAATTTATCAGAAATTCTCAAAAGTAAAAGTTAAGTCCAATCTTTATAGCTGAACTCGACATCTTTCCGAAATTGCATACAATACTAATAAAAGGCAATTCTAAATACATTCTACTAGTAAGGCAAGCCAACTATTAAAATGTCGATCAACATGTCTCTTCTTGCCGCAAAATAGCAAGGAACAACGTAAAAGTGAAGTTCCGACAGAACATGCAAACCTAGATCCAATCAGTTTACTGGGTTTGCGTCCAGATGTATCCTAACTATATCAAGCGCTATTCTTTTTATTTTCTTTTATTTTATTTTCCCAACCGTTGTGAAAGGAGAATATATTCTAATGTGATGAGTTCGTAAATTCTTACTAGTTATTTGAGTTTGCGGTGCGAAAATTTTAAACTTTGAGCAGTTTTGTGAGACATTCTAAAGTTCAGAAAATTGTGCGAGATAAACAAATGTCAATTAGATTATTTGAAAAACCCTCAAAATTCAAAAAAAAAAAAAATTTCTTTGATATCTACTTTCCTTTATAACTAAAGGAAAATCTTAAGATGAACAGTAAATTTTAACATTATCCACGTATTTCATCTTAATTCTTTCAAATTCACCACGTTACACTCAAATAGGCCACGTTTATCAGTTTCCCCTGCAGTTGCTCTGCTTCCACTCTTCTTTCCTCTTCCACAAACGTTTCTCAAATTGGCCACGTTGCTCTGCTTCCAGTGCTTCCCCACAAGCGTTTGCAGTTTCTCAAGTTCCCCACAAGAGAAATCACAGAGATCAGTAATGGCGGCTTCAATGGAAAGATCAGGCCTCCGATTCCTTCGTCAGGGATCAAACACCGGCTCAAACTCCGTCCTTTCCAACAAAAAGAAGAGGAACTGCTTCTTCTCCACTCAATTTTCTTCCCCCTTTCGTTTGTATCTTCCAATTTTAGAAATGAGGGCTAGGATTAGGGTTTCTTTTTCTCTGATTCAGATCTTCTATTGACTATTTTTGTTTTGCGTCATTTGATTAGATGAGATTGCGAAATGGGAGAAGATAACGTATGCTGGAATCGTGACTTGCACGATCCTTTCGATCTATAATCTTTCCAAGGGTCACCCTCCCCATGAAGATCCTCCGGTAATTTTTTCTCTGCAAGTGCAATTTTAAAAACAAAATTTTTTGTTTGTGATGCTGATTTTGATAAAAAAAAAACTAATCTTTCCTCACCTTTTGGCAGGCTTACCCGTATTTGCACATTCGTAACAAGGAATTCTCATGGGGTAAGTGTTCTTATTATCCTTTCCCTTCTCTACTTAGGTTTTTCGTGTTGTCTTGAAGAATTATTATTTTTCTGATAATAGCTAGGGAATAGAAGGGATAAAAAATGATCTCTGATGACTAGAATCCATCTTGATTATTATGGTTAACATGTTGTATTGTTGTTTCACTTGAGGTTGTCTAAATTTGGTATTTGTTTTATTTATCGAAGGTAAAATGGAACATGTCTGGTTGAATGGAACATAAGGTTCCCTTGATCTTGAAAGAAAGGACTTTTATGTCTACCATCAAAGTATTTGAGAGTCAAGACCAAAAGCTAATTGTCAGATGATTCAAATTTCAAACGAAAGAAAAGATAACAAGCTGAGTTAAATTCTGTACACTATAAACGAAAACAAATATTTTATTTTCATAGTAGGTTAGGTTCCTTAATTTGCTGACAGTTACATTTTAGATATGCTTTATTTTGTATAAGATTGATTGATTCGCTAAGAGAGATTGGTCAGTCCCATTGCAACAAAAGCATTGATAAGGACATGTAGAAGACAAAGACAATATAAGGTTTACTTATGGTGAAAAATAATAACTTCATTCTTTCTCCCACCAAACAATTAGATGGTTTATACATAATTGTCAACATGACTAAGCATCTATCAAAGAATAATTCTCTACATGATGTAGAATCCCACATAAAGTAAAATTCAAGACTAATCTAAATATTGATCCTTGCTTAGTCTAGAAAAATAAGACTTAGTAATAGTATGATATAGGATAATTAACACACTGGTAATTGTGTTGTAGAACTCTTTGTTTACTTTTTTGCAGCATTTTAATGTTTGATGTATGTGCTCACAGTTCATGGTGTGGAGCATGCATTTGGGGCACATGAGTCACATGACTATCCGACAAGTGGGGTGTTTGAGGTGGAGCCTCGACAATGTCCAGGTTTCAGGTTTAGGAAATCAATATACATGGGCACAACATGCTTAGATCCTATTGTTCGCTGGAAAATTCGTTGCTTTCTTTGTTATTGATTCCATTGTCATCTTGAGTTACAACTTTTTGAGTTACAAAAGATCCGGTCTTTTTATAAGATCCGGTTACAACGAAAATCAAATAAAAATAAACAAAGATTACAACTTTTTCCTTTTGTGTCGAACGAATCGCGAGCTCCTGTTTTGCGGTCGCTCGCTTGGTGGGTTCTTTGCCTGCGCCGGGGTTATTTGCCGTGGACCACCGCGAGATCTAGATCCGGTCGGATCTACGCAGTACGACGGGTATTATTTCACCAGGAAATAATAGCCGGGAGGCATTGCTTCACCAAGGAAACAATCGTCCAAAGTCCTCGGGATCTAAGACCAGCTTAGATCGCGGAGTATACTGCGTAGATCTGAGGATCTGATCTCTCGAAACACAACTGCCTATTTGACGTTGATGATGCCGGAGCACTCAGATCTGAAGCGAGTAGTCCCCCGAAGTCCCAAAGTTTCAAATCTTTTTTAAAGTCCGAGTCTGCCAATCTCCGCAGGCTTCGCTCCTCTATCAAAATTTCCAACCACTAAAAAATGAGGCCAATGCGCCCCTCTATTTATATGGCATTAAAAGGGCGGATCTGGGAGCCCAGATCTGGGCCCTAGATCCGAGCTTGGCTCGCCAGGTGGCTCGGCCAGGCCGAGACACTTGTGAGTGTCTCGGGTATTTTGATCATAACTTTCTCATATGATCTCCAAATGACCAGATCCAAGATGCATTGGAAAGCTGACAAAGAGATCTACAACTTTCATGTTTTGAGTTTCTTCAGATTCAAATTGCATCATAACTGAAATATCAGTTCTTTGTGCGAGCCACCAAATGGTGGCTCGGCACTGTGCGAGCCAGTTCGTACGTCCTCGGGTATTTTGGCTCTAACTCTCTCGTCCGATCTCGGAATGAGATGATTAAAGATGCGTTAGAAAGCTGACCACTCATGGTGTGAGCTTACAATGGCTGAACCACTCATTGTGTGGGCGAGACACAAGTCCTGGCTGAGTTGTTTTTCCTTCGTACGTCCTCGGGTATTTTGGCTCTAACTCTCTCGTCCGATCTCGGAATGAGATGATTCAAGATGCGTTAGAAAGCTGACGAAGATACCTACAACTTCCAATGGCCGAGCCACTCATGGTGTGGGCTTACAATGGCCGAGCCACTCATTGTATGGGCGAGACACAACTCCTGGCTGAGTCGTTTTGCCGTCGTACGTCCTCGGGTATTTTGGCTCTAACTCTCTCGTCCGATCTCGGAATGAGATGATTCAAGATGCGTTAGAAAGCTGACGAAGAAACCTACAACTTCCAATAGCCGAGCCACTAATGGTGTGGGCTTACAATGGCCGAGCCACTCATTGTATGGGCGAGACACAACTCCTGGCTGAGTCGTTTTGCCGTCGTACGTCCTCGGGTATTTTGGCTCTAACTCTCTCGTCCGATCTCGGAATGAGATGATTCAAGATGCGTTAGAAAGCTGACGAAGAGACCTACAACTTCCAATGACCGAGCCACTCATGGTGTGGGCTTACAATGGCCGAGCCACTCATTGTATGGGCGAGACACAACTCCTGGCTGAGTCGTTTTGCCGTCGTACGTCCTCGTTAACCCACTTCGTCGCGTATCATCTGGCTTCGGTGTTGTGGACTGACGGTCGTGCTTGGATACGTAGCCCGATGGTTGATTTTGTCGAATTGGCGTCGTCGAGTTGTGTTAAGGGACCTATAGGCAGTTTTATACGCCTACACCTATGCAGGTTAGAGACTTTATGGAGCTTAACTCTGTCAACTACAATGGTGATACCTACCATTTGATTGGAAAGAACTGCAATCACTCCTGCAAGGATATACGTTTTAAATTGACTGGCAACTTAATTCCAAAATGGGTGAATCGACTTGCAATAATAGGTGCATTTGTTTTCATTTGCATCATATGTTGCTTCTTCGTATTGATAATCGTAGATCTTTTCTGATAGATAGCATATACTTCTATTATTTTCCATTCCTGATTCACTAGATTTGACACATGCTCCTGCTAGCATGTCAGATATCACCCAAAGACCAACCAATCTCACATTTAAAAGAATTTACTATTTGACATCAGTCTACAGAAAAACTAAGTCAGAGATTAATGTTTTCTGACCATTTTGTAGAAACTGCTCGGAAATACTTTTGCTGGGCAATTTTATTTCATCCTCAGCATGCCAATCTTCTTATGCCATCTCTACCAAGGATGCTTTGTGTTATAGCCTCAAACAGGAAAAATATGCATTTCATTTTCATAACATGCTCTTTTCCAGCTTCAAACAGTTCTCTGTTTTTGACATTCATAAGTCACTCAACATTTTGAAGCTCAATCAAAATTAAATTTGTTTTAAAACAAACCTCTGGAAGAAAGTAAGGAGTTGTACTTAAGAATATAATTTTCACTTTGATATACTTACTCTTCATGCAATTTGAAAGGTTGGTATCTTTATGTATTGATCTAAGAAGTTGTGATGCAGGGTGAAGGTTTTAGTTTCCATTCTGAGACATTTCAGCAAGCATGTTTCTGGCATTTTTCCCCATGTAAATCTAACAGGTTTGACATTATTTATGTGAAATCAGAGAGTTTTAAGGATGTGTGGAGAAAACAGCAACCCAACAGCAAATTAAGAAGGCATATTACAAGTTGGCCTTGCTGCTTCATCCAGATAAGAATCCTGGTGATATTGTGCTTACTGATTTATTTTGTATTAGTCATTTCTTATGCTATAAGCGACCTAGCCATATGGACTGTTCTTTTAACTTCATTTGTTTCTTTATATGCCAAGAAGCTAAGTAGAAATTTCAGCTGCTACAGAAGGTGATTTAAATTCTTGGAGATGAGGAGAAAATGGCAATTTATGATCAGACTGGTCGTGTTGATGATGAGGTGGATTTAAATTCTTGGAGATGAGGAGAAAATGGCAATTTATGATCAGACTGGTCGTGTTGATGATGAGGTGAATATGAGAAAGATTCGGTACCAACCAGTGTACTTTTTATATTCTAGGAAAATTTTAACAAATCTATCCAACACATCAAACTTGATCATAGAAATTATCTATTAAAATAGTTTAATAGTATGTTCAATTACAGCTGAAACAACATGAAACAAATGAAATTTGTCCATAAATTTTGATTTGGAATCTTTGTGGTTGTTATTTGTTTAATTCAAATATATTTGTTTAATTCATAAATTTTGATTATGACTCTTAGTTGTCAATAGATGGGAATAAGAATTTACCAACAATATCATGTAATTGATTAAATCGTTTGGGCAGAGTTTAGTCCAAACGTTTATAACCGTTTGGACAAACTTTGTCCAAACGGTTATTTAGTCATCATTCCATGCCACCCGATCATAGTTTATTCGAACTTGACATAGCATATGGATGTATTCTGTCTTCATTTCATTCTTAACATAATGTAATATTTGAATGTTCAAAACTTTAACAACAAAGGACTGACTATATTTGCATCAAATATGTAATTATATCAAAACAAATATCTTAGCAATGCACAATTTATCTCTTAAGACATACATTTACTTCAATTCTTATATACAATACAATTGTCTCTTATTTTGCAATTGGACAGACGGATGAGGTTAGGTGTAAAAACCTTCTTCTGTCCCACATCTCATGGCCCTTAGCTTGAGATCACTGCTAATGTATCCTTCTCTCATGGTAGCCAGTTCCTTATAGTCAAGCCCTTCGTCTACCTTTTCTTTTGACAGCAATGTCTTCAAAATCAGTTCTCTGTTCTCTGTCGACGGCAGACCAACTATTATTCTGCTCAAATAAAGACATGTTTGAGATATAAAAAGAATATATATAAACTTTTATCCTAAAATGACCAAAAAAAAATTCAGACTGATGAAAATACCAGCAATCAAATTATTGTTTCATACAGCAATCTCTCATTCATCCAGTCCTTAGAATCTGACAATTTTGTAAGTCAATAATTGATAAAAAATTAAATATACCAATCTATTTAATCTAAGAATCAAATATATCTTTATATTATAAATGGTTTAAACTTATATTGGAAATAAGAGTTACAATACAAAAATACAACTGACAAATTTCAATCAATCAAACAATCAATATTTCTGCAATTTTCAAATGTACTTTAAAGGAAATGGAATAATCTCAGTATCTATAAACTAATTGACTTACTATGTATCTATTCGGCAGTGCAACATCGTGTTTTCAAAGTACTTTTCAAAGTACTGATCAAGATCTCAGAGTCCGAGAGGATGTCATCAATGTAAGTCTATTAGCAAATTAATATTCTCTAAAACCTATCATGTTAAATTAATCCAGTATTTTTGTGAGTCAATATGATATCTCTTTATCAGAGCCCAATTATTTATCACTCTTTTTCATTTGTCCATCTGAGTTAAGCTGAAGTAGGTTGTTATAATGTTCACAAATACCTATCTATGTTAAGTAAGTTGTTATAATATTCATAAGTATGTTTAAGATAAATTTATTTCATAAGTATGTTTAAGATAAATTTATCGTGCAAAAATAAATAAAATGAGATGAGAAAAAGTTGCACACAAAAATAAGGTTCAAAGATGCCGTGCTTAGCACGGGTTGAATACTAGTTAACCATAAAGCCGACATCCATTTCCGCTCGTTGACCATTTGCACGTCAACTATCTTCTTTGTGGGTATATCCGTATATGGGTGATTTTGAACTTGCATAGAGAAAACCATTTGTTCGGATGCCAAAAATGAACCAATTATTCTCCTTGAGACCTAAGCATACTGATTTTTAATATTGAAAGGTAATGCTAACTGCTAAGGTAGTCTCTTCGAGCCAAAGCTACCAATCCATTTATTAGCATACCAAAAATGAACCAATTATTCTCCTTGAGACCTACGCAACCATAGTAGATAACGTGTAACACGTGCCTCTCTTTCTTTTTTGGTAAAGAAAATTAGTTGCTAACACTTTTTTTTTAATAAATATTAATTGTTTGGTACATTGATATGTTATTCATATTTGATATTCAGAAGATCAAAAAATTTATTTGATTCGTTGTAACTGTAAGTTCATACACTTAGGGTTTGTTTGGACTTTGGATTGGAGCCTAGTAAAGGGGATTTAAGGGAACATAGAGTAAGTTAAAGTAATGTACGGGAATACGTAAAACTTGTTTGGCAAATTAGTAAGGGGAACTTAGTTCACCCTGTTTGGGAAGTTAAATAAAGTGAAGGAAAGAGAAGAGAATATATGTGAAATTACATAAATAACTGTTTGCTATAGGGTTTTAAGAGGAAATCTCAACCATTGGATTAGATCTTGATAAAGGGTAAAAAAGTCTTTCTATAATTATTGTTTCCCTTCATTTACTTTCACGGTTTCACCCCATTACCCCCACGATTTTGGGGGAAAGAATAACTTCATCCCCACCCCCGCACCCCAGCCCACACACACACATCCACGTCCACCACACACCCACCCACCTTATCTTCCTCCCCATTATGTAGCATAATTTTGTTCCCAAACAAGGATAAAGGTTACCATTACTTCTTATACCCCTCATTACCCTCAGTTCAAACAAGGTCGAGCATCTCCAACAGCTTCCCCATTTCACACTTTTGAAGAATATAGTTAGGTTTTTGGTCCAACAGATTCTCTATCTCATTCCCCAAAATAGGGATGGAGGAGAAAAAATAGGGAAGCTTCCCCAAATCTGCAGCATTCTCCAGATGGAGGAGAAAAAATAGGGAAGCTTCCCCAAATCTGCAGCATTCTCCAAATTTTTGGAGGAAAAAAGGGATTCTTCAAAATGGGGAAGCTGTTGGAGTTGGTGTAAAAATAATTTGGAGAATATGACTTTTGCTTCTCTATTTTGGAGAAAATTTTAGAGAAGCTGTTGGAGATGACCTAATATAGTTGCATGACATGTTCAGCTTTATGTTTTTTTCCCGTTTGTTTAGGGTTTTATTTCGGTTAAAGTTTCGATATAAAATCTTCTTTGTAGCTTAAATAATTGTGGATTATTTTGGGATATGACTTATGAGTACGTTGTCCGTTGTAATTGAAATAATATTGCAGTTGCAAGTATATTTTCTTAGTTGCGAGGAAACAAATAAGTATTATTTTTTCTTTCAGAACATATATTGCTAGAAAGTAATTCCTATTATTATAGACAAGAGGCACATGTTTTCAAATAAGAAAAAAGAAAAACACATATTAATGTGTTCGACCTTGATCGTGCAACTAAGAATAAAGATGCTGCATTTGTCAAAATTAATACACGCTAATCAACGTCGTGCTTCTCATAAACTAATGACCTGCTACCTAATCATTGTAGACTTATTGGTTAACTATTACCATGTAAAAATAATGATCGATAATATTTTTTTTAGTTGTCAACTTCACTTGTGATTTTATAGACAAGTAGTTAATTTTCCTCTTTTCTTTGGTAGGATTATCATTTATCAGTAAACAGTTTTGTTTGCTAACATACGACGTTGCCTTAAAAAAAACGAGTTTCTAATCGAACTTATTGGTAAATTTTTTTTCCCCATTCAATGAGCTATTCAGTAGACGTGCGATAAATAAAGGGGATTTTCAATACTGTTCAAATTTTATTGAACCCACATTTTAAAGAAGGATTTCCAAAATACACCATTATGTAACATTGTTGAACGGCTTAATATCAGAACAAGTGAAGAACAAAAAAAAAAAAAACCACCACAAAACAAAACCTCACCCTAAAAAAAACCCACAAACTTTCAAAATATCAAAAACCCTATGAAAAAACCCCTTTTAACTTTAAGGTTTTATTACAAACCCCTTTAACGGCGTTATCCCTTATCTCCCCAAATTTCATTGGACAAATATACCCCCTAGTTTGGATTTTCGGTGGGAGGGTTTTTAGTGAGAAATCAAATTAATATGTTAAACCATTTTTTTATTTTTATTTTTTACAACATAGGTGAATTTCCTACTTAGGGGTATTTTCCTCTGCTGGAAATTTGACATAATGAGGAATAACACCATCAAGGAAGTTTTATGATAAAACCTTAAAGTTGAATGTAGTTTTCTAATAACCTTAATATTAAGAGGGTTTTTTGATATTTGGGGCATTTTTTTCATATTAAATCTTGCACAAATATTGACTCATGAAAAGTTAACCTATAGGAACTCATCTTAGGATGTAGAATTATAATTAAACAGCAAGTATCATCATGACTTCAAATAATTAATTGAAGCAGAAATAATAATATACAGATAAACATTAAAAGAGAGAGAAAAAATAAGAAAGGAAAACGTAAGCTGAGATCTCATGGCCATGTGTATCCATTACCACCTATAGTCTATGATTTCAAGCACATGAAGAATAAACGACATTAGTTCAAGTTATTGGATTAGTATTCATGGACACAATAATTTAGTTTATTTAGCTGGCTCCATGGCACATTTTTATTATTACTACTACTATTACTATTATTACTATTTTGATAAATCTCCACGGTAAATATATGAGTAACTATTATTGTTTAACGAAATATGTACAGTACATTGAATACAGTAAT